ATGGCGTGATCTTGGCTCACTGCAACCTCCGCCTCCCAGGTTCAAGTGATTCTCCTGCCTCTGCCTCCCAAGTAGCTGGGATTACAGGTGTGGACCACATGCCCGGTTAATTTTTTGTATCTTTAGTAGAGATGGGGTTTCACCATGTTGGCCAGGCTGGTGTTGAACTTCTGACCTCAGGTGATCTACCCGCCTCTGCCTCCCAAAGTTCTGGGATTACAGGCGTGAGCCACTGCCCCGGGCCAGAGGAAGGATTTTTAATATGGGAATGAAATTAGGAAGATGAGGACTTCTAAGCTTAATTTCTGAAATAGGATGACCCATTTGAACCTTTCAGCGCTTTAAATCACTTTAAATTTTTCTCTAAGATAATGTATACTCATATTACCAGTTTAATTTGTTATATTTGATTTGTTCTTTTACACAGTTTAAACAAATGTTTTTTTCTCAGTTTTTGTTAAAATATTATATAATTGAGTTTACAATTTATCATTCTTATGCTTTATTTCTTTCTTGTAGTGCAAAAACCCACAACTTATCCCACTTGAAAACCTCATTGCGTTTAAACAAAGCCAACAGAAACTAACACATAATTTATTTGAGCAAGGTGATGCTGGACACCTTCAACTTCTAAAGGCCAAAATAGAACCACCTGAAGTAAGACAAGGAAAGGACAGTAAAAAAAGGCAAGACTTAAGTGAAATTTTATTTGATAATATCATATATCAGCAAGTTCATTATTATTTATAATCACATAGTAACCTGGTTCATTGTCTTAGGCTATACACAATTGAACATTTAGTTTTCTTTTGATCTGTCATACATCTGAACACATTTTATATGAGGAAAATATCCTATTTTGTGAGACAAATACTATAATTTTTCCCCTTTTATTAAGGAATTCTTTCCTACCATTCATAGACTGTAGGATTCTTTTACAGTGTCTGTAATAGGATGAACACTCATCATTTACTGCACAAATATTTGTTACAATATCCCATATGCAGCAGTCCTCCCTTATCCCCAGGGATACATGCCAGGACCTTCAATGGATACCTGAAACTGCAGATAGTACTGAACCCTATTTTATATTCTGTTTTTTTCTATATATACATACCAATGATAAAGTTTAACTTATAGATTAGGCACAGTGAGCAATGCGCAAAAACTAGTAATAAAATATTGCAATTATAACTATTGTAGTACAAGTTACATGAATGTGATCTCTTTCTCTCTGTTCCTCAAAATATCTTGTTGCACTGAACTCATCTATTTTTGAACCATGCCTATCTTCGTGCCTCTGCATCTTCCCTGAATGCATGGTTGAACTCTGATAACTGAAACCTTGGAAAGTGAAACCATGAATAAGTGGGGACTATTGTATCATCAAATGCTTTGAACAAATTATCTTACCATATTCTTCAAACTGTTAGAGTAAGCAGGAGAGTAGGTGATAAAAATTGTTTCAGGGCACTAAGAAATGTGTATGTGAAAAGCAAAGCTGTGACTTCTAGTGAAGAGCACTTACTTTAGTGTTTTACCACATGTATCGATGGTAGATTATTACTAAGACTAGAAAATACTTTGAAAATTTTACATTTATCAGACTGTGAAAACTGTTACTAGTGCTCTCTTTCCAGAAATGTTCCTCTTTTTTCTATCTATTCCCTCTTCAAATTAAGTCTTCCCCCTTAACATTCTGAGACCTCTTTCCTCCTTGCTGTGATTTTGCTGAGGAAACTAAGTGTGCTTAATGTCTTCAAGTAGACAAATGGAGATATCTGATAGGGTTTCTGGCACCAGCTTCAAATCTACAAAAAAGAGAGTTAAAAAATTACCTAAGATATATAACCCTGTCCTTAGATTCTAGTGACTAACAGAATAATTGGTTCAGTAGTAGAGGTTCTAGAAATAAATTTCACATTTGATATTTTGCTTATATTTGCTTGTATTTGCAGAATATCTTGCTAATTTAATTTCTATTGAAAATAATTTATGAACATAATTTTGTTAACTGTATCCCTATATAGGATGATAAATGAAAAGCAAATGTTGCTATAATTGTAAAAGTATGTTTTATGATACTATGTTTAAAAGGCAAAGAAGAAGAGCTGAGAAGCAGCTGGAAGAAAAAAGATCTGAGAAACTGAGGAGAAAACCAAGTGTGACTTTTCGACCAGAGGATTCCATCATTAATAATGATGATTCAGAAATCATTAAGCAACCCAAGGTATTAAACAACTGCTATAGATTCTTCCCTGGTTTGCATGTATACTGAGTAGTTTGGTATGTCTTTGTGGTTTGTTGAGTCCAGTTGCTGGGAGCTTCTGATTGTGATTAGGAGGATCTTTATATCATTCAGTATATCAGTCCCTGCTGCCTCCCTCAGCAGAGAAGTAGACATACAATTCTGAATGTGAAAAGCAACTTGAGGCACATCAAAAACTGCAGTTTAGAGCATCTGCCTCTGTGGCTTTTATATATTTGAAATCATCCTTTGCTTATTTCTATGACATCTTAATGTATATGTTATGTTATTTGGGCTTCTGCTAATACAATTTCACCCTTCTCTGAGATTCTGCTAGGATTTACCAAACAGGTTTGTTGTATAACCTCTATTTTAAGTCAGATCTTTTTAAAAAATTTATTATTATTTTTTTAGAGATAGGGTCTTGTTCTGTTGCCCAGGCTGTAGTGCAGTGGCACAAATATGGCTCACTGCAGCCTCCACCTCCTGGGCTCGGGCTATCCTTCTGCTTCAGCCTTCCAAATAGCTTGAACTACAGGTGTGTGCCACCATGCCCAGCTAATTAAAAAATGTTTTTTGAGAGACGGGACCTTGCTATGCTGCCCATACTGGTCTCCAACTCCTTACCTCAAGTGATCCTTCCACCCCAGCCTCCTAAAACACTTGGATTACAGGTGTGAGCCATCATGCTCAGCTTTAAGTCAGTCTTTTTAAACATACCTTCTACATTTGGTGACTTGTCTGTTTTTGCAACAACAGATTAAATAAACAGAAACATATTAATAGTTCTGTTTACTTTTTTCTTTTTTGAGACAGATTTTCACTCTGTCGCCCAGGCTGGAGTGCAGTGGTGTGATCACAGCTCATTGTAACTTCGCCTCCCTGGTTCAAGCAGTTCCCTGCATCAGCCCTCTGAGTAGCTGGGATTACAGGTGCCCGCCACCACGCCTGATTAATTTTTATGTATTTAGTAGAGATGGGGTTTCAGCATCTTGGCCAGGCTGGTCGTGAACTCCTGACCTTGTGATCCACCTGCCTTGGCCTCCCAAAAAGTGCTGGGATTACAGGTGTGAGCCACCACTCCCAGCCTACATTGGTTTTTAAAGGGCATGCTTTTTCAGTCAGTCCTTAAGAACATGTCTAGAGGCACTTAGTACAAATGTTTGTTGAGTCCATGAAAGATTTTGACAGGATGGTGGTACTATGTGAGTATCATCCCTGTAGGAGAGAGTTGCACATTGTAACCTAGGAACTTTACATTAATTTGATAATGTTCTTTTTTATTGTTTGGCTTATGACTTTTCTGAACTCATTTGTGGAGTTACTGCAATAGAGTAAATAATTTGATAGAATAATTATGACTAAAATTATGGAAATTGAACCTATACTTTAGAATTCAATCTTTGTTGCTATTGAGGATTTTTTCCAAAATGATACACATCTTTGAGTTAATTATAAATTAATCATGTGGGAATTCATTTAGGAACAACAAGAACATTGTGATTCCCATCCTTTGGATGACTTCGACATTCCTTTTGGTACGTATGTGTATGATTAATGTCTAAGTTTAGAGTTAAAATTAGTTTTCTAGAAGTATGTGCAATATAAAAATGAGGCTACCTAATTTCTGCCCAGCTGACTACAAATTCAAGGGTTCCTATACTCCACCCCCCCTCAACTCAGGTTTGATAATTGACTAGAAAACCCACAGAGCTTGGGAAAGCATTTTACTTATGATTACAATTTTATTGTAAAGGATACAACTCGGGAAAAGCCCCCTTAACTCAGGTTTAATAATTGACTAGAAAACTCACAGAACTTGGGAAAGCACTTTACTTATGATTACAATTTTATTATAAAGGATACAACTTGGGAACAGCCAAATGGAAGAGATACACAGGGCAAGGCAGTGGTGGGGGTGGGCAGCATGCTTCCATGCCCTCTCTGGGATGGCCACTCTCCTAGCACATCCATGTATTCACCAACCTGGAATCTCCCTTAACCTGTTTGCTTCAGAATTTTTATTGACTTTTCAGTACATAGGTATAATTGATTAAATCACTGGCCATTGTGATTGAGCTCAATCTCCAGCTCCTTCTCTTCCCCAGAAATGGCAGTAGGATGGGTGAATTGGGGGGTGATAGTTCTATCCCTCTAATCATGTGGTTGGTTCTTCTGGTGACAAGGCCCTATGCTGAAGCTATCTAGGGGCGTGCCAAGATGTACAAGAAACTGGGTCTTTGTAGACCAAATATATATTTTTCTTTATGCCGCAGTGTGCCATAATTGATATTCTCTGATTCTATGTAGTCTTCCTGAGTGATCTCCCAGAGAAATCTGCATGTAAACCCAAACTCTCATAGTAGACTTTGAACTTTGATTCTCTGTCCTCTTGAGCTTTTCTACTTGCGTAGAAATTATCTCAGGTACGGCATGTGAATTCTGAATTCATTATTTCTACTCTGCCCCAACTGTTTTATCCTCCTATATCCTCTTTCTCCATTTGTGTTAATACCAGCCTAAGCCAGAAACACATGATTTTGAATTCTGCCTTCCCTCTTATCCAGTCAGTAAGCAATTATTACTTTTGCTTCCTTTGTAATTCTTAAATTTATCCTGTTTCCCATCCCTCACCATTACTAGGTGTATCCACTGAAACCTATTTTCCACACACTGCCTAGGTTGTTTTCCTAGAATATGAATCTGACTGTATCATTTCTCTGCTTAACAGCTTCTGCTAGATCTTCATTGGCCACAAGAATATCTAGGTTTCTAAGGTGGGAGTGCAGAGTCCCCTACAGTTTTGGTTTTGATTCTACCATGTCTTTGAGATTCAACTTACGTAACACTTCATTCAGAAAGCCCATTTTAGGCTGGGTGCAGTGGCTCACACCTGTAATCAGCACTTTGGGAGGCCGAGGTGGGCAGATCACTTGAGGTCAGGAGTTCCAGACTAGCCTGGCCAACATGGCGAAACCCCGTCTCTACTAACAATACAAAAATAAGTTGGGCGTGGTGGCAGGTGCCTGTAATCCCAGCTATTTGGGAGGCTGAGGCAGGAGAATCACTTGAACTTGGGAGGCAGAGGTTGCAGTGTGCCAAGATAGCACCACTGCACTCTAGCCTGGGTGACAGAGCCAGACTCCATCTCAAAAAAAAAAAGAAAGCCCATTTAAATAACTTCCTGACCCCTCATATTTTACTCCTGCTGAGTTAGGTACTGTGCTGCTGGGCTCCTGGTAATACGTTAGCTTCTTAATAATTACTTCGAATGTTTTGTGATATTTAAGAAATGCTACAAGATGATAATACTTCAGCTGGATTACATTTCATGGCCTCTGTGAAAAAGAAAGCTATAGGAAGTCAAGATGCAAGTACAAATACAGACCCAGGTAAATGCTGTTTTTCTTTTTAAATAATTCATATATTTTGACACAATTGAGTTATCTAGACTTCCTTTAAGGCAGTGATTTAAAGGGAATTTTAAATTATGTGATATTATTTACTACCCTTAGATTTTTCTCTCCAGTCGTGGTGTAACCTTTAGAAATCAAATTTATAACTTAAGTAAAACATAATAGAGACTTTTCTTCAAAACTGCCATAGCCTACGTTCTAAGTCAGTAAAAATAATGCTTTGAATCTGAATCCTCTATGTCATTAAGTATCTTCACTGGAATTGCATACCTAAGGTTGGGATGCATGGGACTGTGGCTAGTGAATGTGAGCTAGAAAGAGGATTGGGTTTGGCTCAGTGAGGGAGGGGTATATAACTGTGTTCAGGAGTAGAAGAAATAAGTGTTAGAGGACCTATTATTTGGGATGTTTCCTGACAAATTTCTTCTTTAATATTACTTATCATTATGAATAGCATCTTAAATAGTGCTCTACCCATTATATCATAGTAATTCTTTTTTATGAATTTTAGTAAACAGTTTAACTGTGTACAGAACCTTGTAAGTGCTTTTTAGCCTTTCTAACTTTATCTTATGTTTTAAAAATGTAATCATTGTAGAATATTTGGGTAATTTAGCAATCTCTGAAGATGATGAAAATTAACCATAATCACACCACTTAGCAATAACAGTTTGATACTGTTTTTTCTTTTAGTCTTTTGTGCATTTTACATAGTTAGATACAGCATATAGCACAGGTGTCATCACTTACTATCTAAACTCTCACTCTCCAGATATTATTGCCATCTTCTCTAGCTTTTTCATGAGAGTTTCGTTTAATCCTCCTGGGTCCCAATGTTGTTTTTTTCCAAGTACCATGGGATGCTCTTAAACTAGAGTGTATCTTTAACATATTATTTCTTTGGTTATTTGTATCATAGTATGTTTGCTGTAGTGTTGAAGGCAATTCATCTCTAATGCATTCAGTATTATTGCATAATGCATGCTAACTAATGAATTAAATGAATATTAATCAAATAGTGATATTTAAAATGCTTTATAAGTAGTAATACTTGATGGGTTGTTATTTAAGTATTTAAGTGTTGCTTAATGATGTTTGGGAAAATTAGATGGGCTGGGACACCTTTTTTTTCTTCTATTTGAATTACTGTCATAAAGCCTCCTGGAATCAGAAATTTCACTATCTAGCACATTTGCAGGAGTGGATTAGATTTGGATAACAAGGGATACCTGTATTTTGTATTCTGTTCATTTCACTTTGATTTATACATATGGCAAACATGTCCCTGTGAATTCAAAAAAGTACTTTGTAATCATAGTCCTTCTTGCAGCTTTGCCATAAAATATTTTACCAGTTCCTTATTGTTAAATACTTAGGCAGTTTCCAGTTTTTCCTCCTATAAATTGTGCTTCAGTGAGTACCTTCCTGCGTAATAAGACTTTTTGGTTATTACTGTGATTTAGCTAACCTTTTTCACTTTGCCAATCTGATAGGTCAAAAAAGTCATTATTTTAATTTGTATTTCTTTCTGAATAAAGTTGAGCACGTGTAAAATGTTTTTGATATAAATGATGACTCTGCATTTGAGAAATTTTTTTTTTTATGAGACGGAGTCTTGCTGTGTTTCCCAGGCTGGAGTGCAGTGGTACAATCTTGGCTCACTACAACCTCCACCTCCCAGGTTCAAGTGATTCTCCTGCCTCAGCCTCCTGGGTAGCTAAGGTCTCCTTAGAGGTGACCTCCGCCATGCCTCGCTAATTTTTGTATTTTTAGTACAGACAGGATTTCACCATGTTGGCCAGGCTGGTCTTGAACTCCTGACCTCAAGTGATTCGCTGTCCTCGGCCTCCCAAAGTGCTGGGATTACAGGCGTGAGCCACCACATTGGAACTGAGAAACATTCTTAAATGTTCATTATCTAAGCATGTCTTTGAGAAAGCCTTGGAGGTACACTGCTTTTGTTGCAAAGTAGTTTATCAAGCCTTGGAGGTACACTGCTTTTGTTGCAAAGTAGTTTATCAAAGTTGGCAGCTATTTGCTGAGTCTGCCATTCATCTAGGTGAAGGGCCAAGATAAGAATAATAATAAAATCTGAAATTACATTAATTATTTAAAATTACATTGTTAAGCTGTCATTCTACTTTTCTACCTATCACCTTTTATACATAATATCTAATTATATTCATGTATTTTAATTTTTTCTTGTGTTTGTGAAATTTTTTTTTGTTTTTTCTTTTTGTCTTGTTTTTAAATATAGTACAAGATAAGGAAGCTACTTCTCAGGAAATTGTTTCTGAATGTGGTACCAGGCAACAAATTATTTCTTGCACACCAGGTGGGATTTCTTTTTTTTTTTCTAAGAATGGTTTGACTTATTAAAGATTATATCTGCATGCCAAAGCTAATCACCACCCCCCGTAAAAAAAGCAGTTAAGCCAATCAAGAGAGAGAGAATGATTTAAATATTTTTCTTTTTGTTTTTTAACATCTATTTGTTAGTAAGATTTAAGTATTTTTCTTTTCCTTTTTTTTCTAGTTTTAAGTGGTTTAAATTCAAGCTCTGGTAACAAGTACTCAATATGAGTTACATTTGAAAATAGTGCTTTATTGAAAATACAATGCTAGAAAATAAGGTTAGAGACCCAGAATAAAAGGCACAGAGTTAAACTATCTGCTAATCTGCTGTGACAGGCCTATTTATTTTACTGTTCCATAAGAAGCAAATAACTTTTGTGAAATTTAGATGTTAAAACACTTTAAGTGGTAAAATTTATTTATGGCCTCTGTGAATATACTACACACCACTGAATGATACCCTTTTGAAGAATGTGAGTTATATGTCAGTAAAGCTGTCAATAAAAATAAGTAAATAAGAAACTGTTCAAAGTAAAAAAAAAAAAAAAAATTATAGGTTAATCTCCTAAAATCTGGTTTTATTGAAATTTTCCTAAATGAAGTAGACAAACATGACTGAATATATCTGATATGGAAATAGATTTTAGCATTTTCTTGATGTAAGTTATAGTACTCTATTGTTCTTGTAAATGATTCATATGAGAAAAACAATAGTCAACCTACATTCAATTATGAATTACTCTAAATTGTCCTTAGAATAGAATAGAATTTGCTTTAATTATTTATACCAAGTCACTTCTACTTAGATTTCAAGAAACAATTTATGTTGTTTGTTGCTAACTTGTTCATACAAAGTTGGTGATTTGGAGCTGTTTACAGCCTTTTTTAATGTTCCTGATTATTCCTTTTTTAATTTTCAGGACATGAGCCTTCGAATGCTCCTCAGCTCTTGGTCCCAGATGTATATCTAAATCTGAAGCTTTCCACTGAAATATCAGAGAAACCTTTGTCACCCTCAATACCTCATACAGTAGCAAACTCGGTTTGTGTTTTATTCAGAAGTTTTAATAATACTTTTGTGCTAAAATATATTATGGTTATCTAGACATTATTCAATTGTGTAGGTGAAATGAGGCTAAAAATCTCATTTATGTAGCTTTGTAGTAAAGGTTAAAAAATTAATTTAAGCATTATGCCAAAAATATTGTAAATTACGACCAATAGTACTTCTGCTCTTCTTCCTAAGTTAGGCATATACAGGCTCTTCTTGCCTTGTTATTAATAAGAATGAAGCATTAAGCTTTTTTTTTGGGCAGAGTGACCATATAGAGTAAAAAGAATGTAACCCTCTTTGATTTTGTGTGTTTTGGCTCAGACTGGACATACTTATATAAATGTGATTGACATTGAAGCTGATGATCTTCTACAGGAATTACCTGTGAGAGAAGAGCCTTCAAATGGTAATGTTATCAAACAGCAAAGTGATCATCTAGAAGTTCCATCATCTGCAGAGTTACATTATATGGCAGCTTCAGTTACTAATGCTGTTCCTCCACATAATTTTAAGAGTCAAGGTAATTTTTTCCTACAGGTATTGACCGACTTACGACCTATGGAACTTATGACCATTCGACTTTATGACCACAATGTTTTGCAAATATTAAACCAGTTGTACTGGTAATGAAGTGTTTTACTTAAACCTGACGAATGTAGAAATAAGAAACAAAATGGTGTAGAGATGATACAAATGGCATAAAATGAACAAAGAAAATTATGATATATAACAATAATGAAAGAAAATTATGATAAAATATGACTTAAAGATTTTGTAACATTTCACAGTACTTTACGTATAGCCTACTCAACTTAATGACCAAATCGTGTTACGACCGGTCTGTGGGAACCAATCGTGGTTGTAAGTTGAGCACTAGCTGTACTTTTAAAACAAATATGATTTGAAAGTTCTTTAATATAGCATTGTTATCCCTACTCAAATCTCTTAACTCTCCTCCTACAAAACCACTGAATCTTTGGATGTTTATATTCACAGAAATGTTCTGTTAATCTTCTAATTACCTTGTTTAGAAGTTTATAATCAGCCTTTGAGTGCTTTTCATATTCTTGATAGAATCAGCCAGTTCCACTATGGATTTATTTTCTAAACCTGCAGAGGTGACTCCCACTTGTCTAGATGGAAAAAGCTTGAGAGCAGGCATTACTGAAGTGAAGGAGCCTAGTGTCACCTCACCTGCACCATCAGACATACAGCAGAACAAAGGTAAACAGCCAAGACGTATAGCATGACCCTCTCCTGAATTACTGTTATATTAGAAAAAAGTACCAAAACTTGATAATTGCAAAAGAAACCAGAAAAAGGCTTGTCCCTTGCTAAGGAACATGGAGGCAAGTAGGTAAATGAAATAGAGACATGATTCCAAAGCTCGGCCCGATGGATATTTTGCAAGAAGTGACAGATCTGTTTATGGATGTATATTTTCTCAGTAAGGTTAAAAATAATATTTTGTGTGAGTTCATGAGTGTTTTGATGTTAAAAAACAATTCTCTTATTTTTTTCTCAAAAAAAAAAAAAAGGAAAGAAAGAAAAAAATAATTAAATAAATAAAAAAGAATGAAGGAGAGGAAGAAAGAGAAAGAGGAAGAGGGAGAGAGAACGGGGGTGTTGCTTTATTGCCCAGGCTAGAATGCAGTCTAAAAATGGGTATGCCTATAATTGTGCTTAATAATAGAGACATGAAAAAAAAATGAGGGAAGAAAATAACAAACAAGCAGCCAACCAATATTTCATTTAAACCTGTAAATAGATGTGATGTGGTACTGATAAGAGTGTATATTTTGTGTATTTAAAGTAGAGAGTTCTATAAATGTTAATTAAGTTTACTTCTTCCGGATCTGAGTTCAAATCCTGGATATCGTTGTTAATTTTCTGTCTCATTGTTCTGTGTAATATTGATGTTGAAGTCTCCCACTATTATTGTGTGGGAGTCTAAGTCTCTTTCTGGGTATTCCTGTTTTTGGTGCATATATATTTAGGATCTTTAGCTCTTCTTGTTGCATTGATCCTTTTATCATTATGTAATATCCTTCTTTGCTTCTTTTTATCTTTGTTGCTTTAAAGCAACTCCTGCTTTTTATTTATTTATTTATTTTTGCTCTCCATTTGGTTGGTAAATCTTTCTCCATCCCTTTGTTTTGAGTCTTTGTGTATCCTTGCATGTGAGATGGGTCTGGATGCAGCATACCGATGGGTTTTGGCTTTTTTTGTCTGTCTGTGTCTTTGGATTGGGGGATTTAGTCGATTTAAATTTAGAATTAATAATAATATATCTGAGCTTAATACTGCCATTTAATGTTAGCTGGCTGTTTTGCCTATTAGTTGATGTAAATTATTGATTATGTTGATGCTCTTTACTTTTGGTATTTTTTAGAAGGGCTGATACTGGTTATTCCTTTCTATGTGTAGTCGTTCTTTCAGAAGCTCTTGTAAAGCAGGGCTGGTGGTGATGAAATCTCTGAGTGCTTGCTTGTTCACAAAAGATTTCATTTTTCCTTCGCTTATGAAGCTTAGTTTGGCTGGATGTAAAATTCTGGGTTGAAAGTTCTTTTCTTTAAGGATGTTGAATATTGGCCCCCACTGTCTTCTAGCTTGTAGGGTTTCTGCTGAGAGATCTGCTGTGAGTCTGATAGGCTTCCCTTTATGGGTAACCTGACCTTTCTCTCTGGCTGCCCTCAGTATTTTCTCCTTCATTTCAACCCTGGTGAATCTGGTGATTATGTGCCTTGAGGTTGATCTTCTTGAGGAATATATTTGTAGTGTCCTCTGTATTTCCTGGACGTGAATATTGGCCTGCCTTGCTAGGTTTGGGAAGTTTTCCTGGATAATATCCTGAAGCGTATTTTCCAGTTTGGATTGATTCTCTTCATCACCTTCAGGTACACCTATCAAGCGTAGATTAGGTCTTTTCACATAGTCCCATATTTCTTGGAGACTTTGCTCGTTCCTTTTTATCCTTTTTTCTCTAATCTTGTCATCTTGTTTTATTTCATTAAGTTGGTCTTCAACTTCTGATATCTTTTCTTCTGCTTGATCAATTCGGCTGTTAAAACTTGTGCATAGTTCGCAAAGTCCTCATGTTGTGTTTTTCAGCTCCATTAATTCACGTATATTCCTCTCTAAATTGTGTATTTTTGTTAACATTTCATCAAACCTTAGTTCTTAGTTTCTTTGCATTGGGTTAGAACAAGTTCTTTTAATTCACAGAAATTTCTTATCATCCACCTTTTGAAGCCTGCTTCTGTTAATGGAACACACCCGTTCTCCATCAGGCCTTGTTCCATTGCTGATGAGGAACTGTGATACCCTGTAGAGGGAGAGGCGTTCTGATTTTAGGTATTCTCAGCCTTTTTAGGCTGTTTTCTTCCCTTCATTATAAATTTATCCATCTGTGGTCTTTATAATTACCGCCTTTATAATTGGGTTTCTGAGTGGACGTCCAACTTGTTGATTCCCAGCGCTAAAATCTGAGCAACCCATTGCATCGGCCAAAACAGTGGCGTTATGATTGATGGTGCTTTTCTGACTCTGCACCAAGAACCACCGCACCAAGGCAGCGGCCAAACCGCCTCGCCGGCCACAAGAGTCACGCTGGCGACCCGTGGGGCTCCTCCGCTGGGAATCTCCTGGTGTGTGAGCAACAAAAATTCGTCTGAAAGTGTGGCGTCCTCTCGTTCTCTGCACTTTCACTGGGAGCTACGATCCCGAGTTGCTAGTGATCAGCCATCTTGGATCTCTCTCAATTCTCATATTTTAAAAGGTGAGAAATTCTCAAATAGCACACAGAAAATATACAGGCATGGTAGCCAACAGTACTTTTTTTTCCAACTTTTATTTCAAATTTGGGATACATGTATAGGTTTGTTACATAGGCATATTGCATGATGCTAAGATTTAGGGTATGATTGAACCCATCGCCCAGGTAGTGAGCATAGTACCCCATAGGTAGTTTTTCATCCCTTCCCTTCCTCCCTCCCTCCCTGTCTTGTAGTCCCCAGTGTATGTTTTTTCCATCTTTACGTGCAGGTGTATGCAATTCAGTAGTACTTATATCAATTTTATAGTCAGGTTGCATTATGGTAACTTTTTGCAAGATTTAGAAGACTATATATATATATATTTGAAATTTTTAATAAACTACATATATATAAACTACATATATGTAATATGTAATACATATATATGTAACTACATTTATAATAAATGTATATATAACTACATTTATATAATAAACTACATTTCTATAGATCTATATCTATATCTCTCTCCATATATAGATATATATTTGTTGTTGTTGTTTTTTAGAGACAGAGTCTTGCTGTGCCGTCCAGGCTGGGGTACAGTGGTGTTATCATAGTTCACTGTGACCTTGAACTCTTTGGCTCAAGAGATCCTCCTGCTTCAGCCTCCCAAGTAGCTAGGAGGATTACAGGCACACACCACCATGCCTAGCTAATTTTTAGATTTTTTTATAGAGACAGAGTCTCACTATGTTGCCCAGGCTGGTCGTAACTCCTGGTTTCAAGTGATCCTCCTACCTCAGCCTCCCAAAGTACTAGGATTATAGGCATGAGCCACCACACCCAGCTTAGGAGAATATCCCTCCACAACCTGAAGCTACTACATCGTGTGACTGGTTAGATTAATCCAATATGCAATCAGACTCTGTGCAACAGAGACCTAAGTCTCCCCTAGGTTCCACAGAGGTTGTGAGGCATGGACCTAGCCAGCCCTGCAGTTGAAAGATGCGTGGGTGCAGAGTCTAGCTCTGTCTGATTATTGTGTAATGACAGTGGGCACTTAGGAGACATGAGAAGCAAGGAAGGGATGGGTGGCAGGGAAACTTCACCTCAGGACGTGTTAGGGCATGTGTATTACAGCTGCATATACAAACAGGTGCCAGTATTTCAGATTTTAAAGGCTTTGTCTTCTCTCTCCTGTCATGGGGCTGCTAAGGTGCATGGGTAGTGGATGGAGGATGTATGAAGCTAGCAATCTTTCAGACAAGGGAAGTATGTGGGAAAGTGAACAGAACCTGGCTTTTAGATTCAAATAGAACAGACCTGGATTTGAATCCCAGCTCTGTCACTTAATATTTTAGATACTTTTTACAATTCAATTAACCTTCTTTGGGATCCTCACTTGTATGTCTGTGGGACACACCTCAGAGGGTTGTCATGAAGTACATTAAGCCAAGTGTCTGTGGCTGCTTAGGTACCCTGTTAGTTTCCCTTCATTTTCCTACCAATCAACTTTTGAAGTTCTGGCAGACTGGAAGTAGACTTATCTCTCTGTGATCCCTGAGTATCTCAGGCCGGCATTTCAAATGACCATAAGCTACAGGTTAATTTCCTTTATCAATGAGACCAGGTTTATAATCAACCTTTTGGGAGGCTCCTTACATGGGGAGAATGCCTGGTCAAAAGGATTTGTTAGTGGACCCTTCTACTCTAATTACAGAGAAGAACTTTAAAAAATAAAGTTTTGGCCAGGAGCAGTGGCTCATGCCTGTAATCCCAGCACTTTGGGAGGCCAAGGCAGGTGGATCACGAGGTTAAGAGATGGAGACCACCCTGGCCAACATGGTGAAACCTTGTCTCTAGTAAAAATACAAAAATCAGCTGGGTGTAGTGGTGGGCACTTGTAATCCCAGCTACTCGGGAGGCTGAGGCAGGAGAATTGCTTGAACCCGGGAGGTAGAATTTGCAGTGAGCTGAGATTGTGCCACTGCAATCCAGCCTGACGACAGAGTGAGACTTAGTCTCAAAAAGAAAAAAAAAGTGAAGTTTTATATTTTGAAATTAAATTCTGTCATTTTACATAACATACTTTATTATTTATTTTTTTTGAGACAGTGTCTCACTCTGTCACCCAAGTTGGAGTGCAGTGGTGCAGTCTCATTATGATATTGGCTGTTGGTTTGTCGTAAATAGCTTTTATTATTTTGAGATACTGGGGGTGGGACGGTTGCGAGAGCGCCAGCTATCCTGAGGGAAACTTCGGCGGGAACCAGCTACTAGATGGTTCGATTAGTCTTTCGCCCCTATATCCAGGTTGGATGACCGATTTGCACGTCAGGACCGCTACGGACCTCCACCAGAGTTTCCTCTGGCTTCACCCTGCCCAGGCATAGTTCACCATTGTTCGGGTCCTAACACGTGCGCTCGTGCTCCACCTCCCCGGCGCGACAGGCGAGACGGGCCGGTGGTGCGCCCTCGGCGGACTGGAGAGGCCTCGGGATCCCACCTCGGCCGGCGAGCGCGCCGGCCTTCACCTTCATTGCGCCACGGCGGCTTTCGTGCGAGCCCCCGACTCGCGCACTTTGATTTTCAAGTAGAATTTGAAAAAGTCGTAAAAATATTAAAGTTGCATTTTGATGAAGTATGTTTGTAGCAAGGGATAAATGTAATATTAAGGCTGCCTTTTGTGTGGAGCTTTGTTGTAGTAATTTCTGTATTCTTATCTCAGAAGTCAAGAAGCTGAAACGGAATTTTTAAGTATATTAAAACTGATTTGGAAGGTAGTGTTGTGTTGGTTTAAAATGAAGTCATAAAAAATGAGATCATCAGTAATACCTCTTCTTTAATTATAGCTAGTGCTCGACTTAAGACCACGATTGGTTCCGACAGACCGGTCGTAACACAATTTGGTCGTAAGTTGAGTAGGCTGTATGTACAGTACTGTGAAATGATGTTATAAAAGTCTTTAAGTCATATTTTATCATAATTTTCTTTCATTATTGTTATATATCATAATTTTCTTTGTTCATTTTATGCCATTTGTATCATCTCTACACCATTCTGTTTCTTATTTTTACATTCGTCAGGTTTAAGTAAAACACTGCATTACCAGTACAACTGGTTTAATATTTGCAAAACATACAAATTTACAAAATACAGGTGCATACAAAAATACAAAATACAGGTGTAAAAAATACCATAGGAAACATTTTCCCAATTGCAAAACATATCAAAATATATAAACATATACGAAACATTTTATTGGCCACTGGTGCTTGGCTGCGGATTGTTGATGTCATCATCTGAGGCAGCAGTTGGGGTTACCGGAGTTGGTTTTTTCATAAACATGGTGAGCTTTGTCTGAAGTGTATGTTTCTTTTGTTCTTCATAAATTTCACGATATGGATGAAACACATCGTGTGCCATCCGTTCAATCCTTGCAAATCGTTCGATGTTGCGTCCATTGCTTCGAAATGTATAAGAAGTTTATTCAGTAAAGATAAACCGTCTGATAATCCCTTTCTTTCTGGCTCCTCCTCTTCTTTCTCTGCTTCTCTTCTTTCTTCTTCCACCACTCTTTCTTCTTCCAGTTCGATTAGCTCTTCATTTGTAAGTTTTCTGGATTCTTTGTCTAGCAACTCTTCGACATCTTCCATTTCACACTCCAAAGAAAGGTCTTTAGCGAGTTTTACTATTTTTTCCCGAATCGTTTCAAGTTCATGTTCACTGTCAAATCCGTCAAAATCATTAACATAGAGCTTAACACAATTTTTCCAGATGCCATTCATGCACTTTGTCATCACAGCCTCCCAGGCGGTAGCGATATTCTTGATACACGTCAAAATGTTGTAGTGTTTCCAAAAATCTACAGCGGAGCAGTCGTGGCTAGCGATTGTGGTCGTAAAGTCGAATGGTCGTAAGCTGCATAGGTCGTAAGTCGATCAATACCTGTATAACAAATTCTGCTTTTACTTTTATTAATATTTAGATCTGCCAGAACCAGAGTTCCAATTCAAAGGACAGAGCACAAAACCAGACTCTGCAGATTATTTGTTATGGAAACTGCTGCAAGGTATCTCTGCAGCTCGCCCTGCACCAAGCTCTACAGCTCACCAACTAGAGCATCTCACTGCTAAGCTTCAGAAAATTGACGAGCAGCTGCTAGCAATACAGAACATTGCTGAAAACATAGAGCAGGATTTCCCCAAGCCTGAAATGCTAGATCTACATTGTGATAAGGTAGACTATCTTTATTTTTAGTTTTTTGTTTGCAACTGAATTATGATTTTTAGTGTGATATAACTTTGGATACTTGATATTTCAAAATAATGGGAAATTTGGTTTCTTTAAGCTAGGGTTTTTCAACCTCAACACTATTGACCTTTGAGCCAGATATTTCTTTGTTGTAGAGGACTGTCCCATGCATTGTAGGATATTTGGCAGCATCTCTGGTCTCTACCCAGTAGCTTTCAGTTGCACTGCTCCTTAGTTGTAACAATAAAAAATGTCTTTAGATAATACCACGTGTTCCTTGGGAGTCAAAATCACCCTCACAAATACAAAGCTTACCTTAAGCTTTTTAGAAGTAAACCCATATATAATGCTGTTATCATAAAATAAGTTGGAAAATACTACTCTCTCTTCTATGTCTTGGGAAAATTTTTTATAGAATTGGTACTATTTCTTCCTTAAATGTTTGGTAGAATTCAGTGGAGCCATCTGAGCTTAAAGTTTTGTTTATTGGGACATTTTAAAGTATAAATTTACTTTCTTCTGTACATATACGACTATTCAGCTAATCTTCTGCTCTAAATAAAGCTTTTTCTAGAGTCCCCCACACACAAAAAGGAAGTAAACCCATGCTTCCTACCAATAAAAAAAAACTGTGAATTACAGAACTAGAATGTGATATTAAAGGAACCCCACTTGTAATTATCATTTTCCTCTGAAAGATTTTTATAATTTTACAAATATTATTGTCCTTATATTTGGAGTTTTTGTCAGTTTTAAATATTTTATGTAAGTAATCAGTTCCTTAGAAAGTTTTCATATCTTTTTTTCTTTTTATTCTTGAGTCATAGTCTTGCTCTGTTATTCAGGCTGGAGTGCAGTGATGCGATCGTGGCTCACTGCAGCCTCGACGTCCCAGGTTCAAGCAATCCTCCCATCTCAGCCTCCCAAGTACCTGGGACTATAGGTGTGCGCCACCACACCCAGCTAAGTTTTTAAAATTTTTTGTGGAGACAAGTTCTCGCTATGTTGCCCAAACTAGTCTCTAACTCTTGGCCTCAAGCAGTCTTGCCTTGGCCTCCCAACATGCTAGGATTATAGAGATGAGCCACCACACCAGCCTAGTTTCTATGTCTTTAAAAGGTAGTCATTCACGCCTGTAATCCCAGCACTTTGGGAGGCTGAGGTGGGCAGATCACAAGGTCAGGAGATTGAGACCATCCTGGCCAACATGGCAAAACTCTGTCTCTACTAAAAATATAAAAATTAGCTGGGTGTGGTGATGTATTCCTGTAGTCCCAGCTACTCTGGAGGCTGAGGCAGGAGAGTTGCTTGAACCCAGGAAGTGGAGGTTGCAGTGAGCTGAGATGGTGCCACTACACACCAGCTTGGCAACAGAGTGAGACTCCATCTCAAAAAAAAAGGTAGTCATAAAAAAATAAATGTTTATATATAATGGTAGTTAAAATAGGAAGTCTCAAAAATTAATTATTTTGCACATTTTGTCCTTTTTTAAAAGGAAGAACAATTTATATAATGAGGATTAAAGAATAAATATTATGTTACAAATAATGGGTTAAATGAGACCATGATTGGGTGCTTGAGGCCAGGAATTTGAGATCAGCCCAGGCAACATAGTGAGACCTCATTTCCACAAAAATAGTAAGTCGGGCATGGTGATGTGTACCTGTAGTCCTAGCTACTCAGGAGGCTGAGGTGGAAGGATCACTTGAGCCCAGGAGTTCAAGGCTGCAGTAAGCTATCATTGTACCCACTGCACTGTAGCCTGGGTGTCAGAGCGAGACCCTGCCTCTTAAAAAAAAAAGTTAAATGTCTTAAAAGTCTAATATTGGGAAATGCAAAATAGTCTACAGGATAAGAATTTCGTTATTGACTTACCTTACAGATATTCCAGATTGCTAGCATGTTGACATTTTAAAAAATGTTATTTTTTAGGTTTATAGTATGTCCTCAATCCAAACATTTAACTCATACTTAAAAATTAAGATTAAGCATATGTGAAACTATACTGAAAGGATATGAGGCAGGACTACTACTAAGTAAAAATACTAATACTAAGTAATGATATTATCATGCTTATTTGGTTTGTTTCCCTGTTTTTTTTTTGTTTTTGTTTTTTGGTAGAGATAGGGTTTTACCATTTTGCCCAGGCCAGTCTCCAACTCCTGGGCCCAAGTGAGCCTCCCACCTCAGCTTCCCAAAGTGCTGGGATTACAGGTGTGAGCCACCCTACCTGACCTGCTTTCTGTTTTGTTAACCCAGACTTAGATCTTTAGATCTGTCACATCCAAATAAATGTTCAGCATCAAAGCAGTTGCTGGAACTCCTTACTTCAAAGAACCTCTTTTGAAATTGCCATGTGAGCTAGTTTAGTAGTCATTGTCTACAGCTAGATACTTGATTTGTGCCCAAATCTAGTCTTGATCCTGGCTTGCTGACTCTCACAAGAGTTTATAAATCATTAATTTATTCAACAAACATTTATTGAGCATCTACTGCATATTAGGCCCTATGCTAAGTTCTGGGAATAGAAAGATAAATAAGGCATAGTACCTACTCTCAAGGACTATAAAATCTAATAAAAGAAGGTAGATGTATACACCAATAAATACATATGTACTGGGTGTAATGAGGACACATAGATATGCCTGGCATGTTGTGACTGGACGGGGTAAGTAAAGCTGTGGCAATGGTGAAGGCTTTGCAGAGGTGACTCTTGAGCTGGTAATGAATTGATATTCATCAGTTAATTAAGGAAGGGCTGACAAAATATTGTGAGTAAAGGAGAAAGGTACCAAATGGCATAGAGTGTTTGGAGAGCTGTATGAGCATTACTTAGAGACAGAAGTTAGTGAGACTGGACTTCAAGATACCTGGCAGTAGAGGTAGGAGAGGGGAGACAAGGAGGAACAGAAAGCATTGTTTACCATGTCAAGCAATTGGGATTTTATCCTATAAGCAGGCAGTAGGAAACCAATGAAGAATTTTAAACAGAGAAGAGAGATGATCAGATATACAGACAGTAGTATGGAGGGCAGATTGGAAAGGATAAGTCTGGGAACAAGGAGACCACGGGTCACAGTGGTTCCTAATCTGGCTGCCCATTAGTATCAACTAGGAAACTTGTTAAGAATGTGGATTCCTGGGCCCCATTTCCCTGAAATTCTGATTTTAAGTAGGTCTGGGTAGAGCCCAGGAATCTGTTATTAACAAGCTTCACAAATGATTCTTATGCTTCTAGCTCCATACCAGATCCACTGATAAGTGCTTGAGATACACTAAATATCCAAGGCAGGAAATAACAATATGCCTGAATTTGGGCAGTAACAATGGAGGGAAGGCATTAACAGGACTTAGAGATTGATAAGCTGTGGGAAGGTGAAGAAGACAACAATTCACAGTGTTGTCCAGATTCCAGCCTGAGTGAATGGTGGAGCCATTTTCCAAACTAAGGAAGAATTGTGTGTGAGCACGCATATTGGGGGAGGCAGGCACAATGATTTCTGTCAGGGACATGATACATTTTAGGTGCTATGAGATAAGTAGGCAATTCCTCAGAAGCAGCTGAGGAGCTACAACTGGGCTTTAAGATACAGATTTTGGAGTAATCAGGAGGAAGTTCAATTTATGATAGAATAGGCACTTCTCAGGGAGAGCACATAGAGGAGAAAAGAAGAGGGTAAAGAATCTTGTGGAAACATTTCCTTGTAAGGATGGGGATTCAATAAGACTTGAGAATAGTCTGAAGTTGTAAGAGACCCAGGAGAAAGCCAGCCAAAGCAGGAGTTGCAGGAGGTAATTTCTACATATCTGAGTCCATTAAGTGTAGGGCCACAGCCCTACAGGGTCATGGGGTGTCCCCTATCGTTGTGCTGAGGCACAGGATCCGAGAAATAGAGGCAGGACACAGAAGGACAAAGTAAGTGCAGCTGGGCTCAGGGGGGCCACGCCATCAATAAGCGGAGACAGGCGAGGCCCTAAATGTCCAGAAGCATCTGTATTTACTGGGTATAGGTTAGGAGGCAGGGTAGTGAGTGAGGTCATCTTTAAGAATAGTGATAGGGTCGTGAGCAATAAACAAGGGGTCCACCCCCATTAGGTCACCTAGGCTAGGAGGTGGGCAGTGTGCAGCAAGGGGTCCATTTCCATTAGGTCACCAAGGCAAGGAGGTAGGCTGTGCACAGTGAGGGGTCCATCCCCATTAGGTCACTGAGGCAAGGAGGTGGGCCATGCGCAGCGAAGAGGGTGCAGCGTGCAATATATCTGTGGGCACACTACTTCTAAGATTATCTGTAGGAGGATGTTTTGAGTCACACAGCAGTGACAGAGCTGACAGGGTCTACCACCACCTGCTGGCAGCTTCCAATGATTTCTATAGGATAATGCTTTTGAGCCAGCACAGTAACAAGAGCTGATAAAG